CTAGTCTATGAAAATTCTTAAGGCTAAATTTACATCAATCACTATTTGTTTTCTTATTTGATAAACAACTACTTTTTAAAGCTGTTAAGATCATGGTGGATTCTTAGACTATATAGTTATAGAACAATTTATATTAAAATTAATTCAAGGGTTTATTATTAAACAATTTTTTTTTAAAAAAAAACAAAAATTTTATATAAATCAGTTCTAGAATAGTTTTTTACTAATAGTAAATCAATTTTTATATTTGGTAATATCTGAGACTGCATTAAATATAGCAAAACTTGAAGATATAATGAAAATACATTCTTACTATATTTTAAATATTGATTCAGAACTTACTCATATTGCACCAAATATAAAAGTAGATGAATTACATCTAAAAATATTAGATGTAACCTTATCTATGAGATTAAAGAATGAAGATGATGAAAATGATATTTATTCAATAGATGAAATCAAAGAAGAGCTTTTTATATTAGAAGAAAATTAATATAACAACATTTTCATCAATAATGAATTATTATTAATTGGCAATATAATAGATTTAGATTTATCTAATTTTAAATTAAAATCTTTAAATAATGATAGTTTTGAATTTATTAAAGATCACATCAAAGAAGATCATGGTAATAAAGAATTCGATGTTAATGCTTTAGTAAATAACTTTAATATTTAAATATTTACCATTACAAATGACTAGATATATGTAAATGTATATAATATGATAATCAATATAATAATATATTTTATTGCTAAATATATTAAATTTATATATATATATATTTTTTTATAGTTTATAGAATGACCTCATTGGTCAGGGTTTTCCTTTATTAAAGTATCTGCAGTCTGTATTTATGGAAGAGTTTACAGTAACATATCAACAAGGGTACAATAAGCCACATGTACAACTTTAGTCATTGTCTATTTAAGGGTTCTGCCCATGGGTTCCCCACTTATTGCCATACCTGAGACCTGCTTGTGGGTCCCTAATTAAACTCTCTGATTTTCAATATTATTCTGATCAC